ACACGTACAAAAAATGGGTGTGGCGGAGATGAGGATGCTTCGTGGGATGTGTGGGCACACGAGAAAGGATAAGATTGGGAATGAGGATATCCGAGGTAAAGTAGGAGTAGCCGAAATTGAAGGAAAGATGAGAGAAAATCGGTTCCGGTGATTTGGACATGTGCAAAGAAGGCCTACTGACGCTCTGGTTCGAAGATGTCACTACTGGACAGAGGTTCAGGGCCGAAGGGGTAGAGGAAGACCTAGGAAAACTTTGGAAGAGACTCTAAGAAAAGACTTAGAGTACTTGGATCTAACGGAGGACATGACACAAAACCGAGCGCAATGGTGTTCTAGGATTCATATAGCAGACCCCACTTAGTGGGAAAAGGCTTTGTTGTTGTTGTTGTTGTGGTAATGAAAGGAGATGAACTAAAAGATATAAAAATATTTAAACATTGTGGTAATGAAAGAAGATGAAAAGATAATGTTTTAAACCAATAAAAATAATAAAAATATTTAATAATTAATTAAAAATTATTTGAAGTTTCTGTCAAATTTGACATTAACCGTCTTTTCTGCCAATCAACGTCGTGTTATATAAGAATTGATGTTTTGGTTAGAAAATACTATTGTTTTTTTATTGTTATTGCTGATATAGATTTTTTAACATCTCCAAAGGGATAAAAAATAAAAAATCAAATGCAATAAACACAAGGACACTTTGCATGGGAAAGGGATCCTCTCCGGGTCCCTTCCACCAAATCCTCCCCATTAAACAATCCGGATCCTTGAAATTTGATCCAACAGCTAAAGTTATTATCTTTTAAAGTGAGTCTCTGTTTTTAGCTGTTGGATCAAATTTCAAGGACCAAAATTAGTTGATGGGAAGAATTTGGTGGAAAGGATCCGGGAGCATCCATTTCCCTTTGCATGCATATTTAATTGATACCTTACCAATAGATACGCAGTTTCTATCTACATCCCATTGGCCAATAGGTATCAAAACCTACCCACATTACTTAAAATAATTTGTTGGATAGTCCGTAAACTGAATAAATTACTTGAACTTGACATCATTGCTTTGAAAATCTTATGTGCCATTTATAAAACTGATCTAACGGTCAAGATGATTCCCAAAGTTGACTAATAGTTAATTTACACAAAGATCTTAGAGGAAAATGTAACAATAGCTCATCAACTTTAACCTAGTTGGCGTAAAATAGTTCCTCAACTCAAAGTATATGACCATTGGTCCATTAACTCCTCAAAACATGTAGTTATGGTCATTTTCCTCAACTCCATTAGAATTTCCATCAAAACGAGTCACATGCCACGCACATGAGGCTGAATTGAGGGACAAATATGGAAAACCAAATGAGCAAAATTGTAGTAATGATCCTTGAACTTTAACAAAACTGGAGAAATTGTCCCTCAACTTTATCCCAATTAAAGCAATGATCCCTCAACTTTAACCTAATTGTAGCAATGATCATTACAATATAACTCATTTTGATGGAATTCTGACGGAGTTAATGAAAATGACCATAGCTGAAGGTTTTGATGAGTTAAGGGACCAATGGTCATTACAACATAACTCATTTTGATGGAATTCTGACGGAGTTAAAGAAAATGACCATAGCTGAAGGTTTTGATGAGTTAAGGGACCAATGGTCATGAAATTTTAGTTAAGAGACCATTGCTCCAATTAAATTAAAGTTGATGAACTATTACTACAATTTTCTCAAGATCTTATCGCGGATAATATTTTTTTACTGCTTAATTGTGGCATATGAATTATGACATGATAGTGGATAAACTGACTAAATTACTCGAACTTTGCGTGATTGCATAGGATGTGTTGATGTGGGAAAAGTTATGTGCCTTTAGTACTGCGGTCTAATAGTATTCATCTTCACTTATAAATGAGAGGTCTTAGATTCGATTCTCACCAAAGACGAATTTGTTAAATAGAGATTTAACAAAGAATAACAGAAATAAGTAAACCAATAGATTCCATTTTTTAGAGTGAACATATTCCTTTGGGCATAAAACCAAAAAAGATGGAAGGTTAAACCACATGTATTCAGCTCCCTCTTTACGTAATGGAAGAAAGAGGAGACAACCAAACTGCTTATGCATGATCCTATTTCATATGTTTCTTTAATGCCGTAGTATTATATTTCTTCTGGAAGAAAGGAGACATAACCAAACTGCTTATTCACTATTATATTTATTTTGGAGAGCGTCCCACAACCCTTTAGCAGTAATACATGTAGGGGCGCTTGTTGATTCTTCAAAGGTGTTGGCGAAGAACAAAGAGACATTTCTCAATCCTTCAGAATTCTTAGGAATTTGGGAGGTTGGATGCTTTAGAGTTTTAGAGTTTCAAAGCTTTAAGGATTTTGGGGAATGAATTCTCTTCCAATTTGGGAGTAGAGAAAATGTATGTGACTTGGTCCCCCTAAATTAATGAAATGGGTTCCTATTTATAGAATTCCAAGACTTGATTTTTGGATTTAAATAATCATATCAAATAAATCATTTCTACCAGGTATTAACATGTGTCTTTTTTGATGATTTTTCTAATTTTTGTTAAGTCACACGCTATGTGTACAATTTATGCAATACGTGGCACGTGACATGTATGCATCGGCATGTTGAAATTTTAATGCGTTAGTCAACATTTATTTTACCGAAATTTCAATGTCTACACTAACTTTTCCACTTTTCAGGTATTTTAAAGGTTTTTAATGTTCTTTGTCATTTATTGTAACTTACACAGCATCAGATATTTTCTCAACAAAAGCGTTTCTCTCTCTGGCTCTCTTATTCTCACAAACTTTAGTTTTATTTCACCAAGTCACCCGCTCTCTCACCCTCTTTCAGTCTCTCTGCCACTCCCTCTTTTCCTCACGAAGGCTCTTCAGTGATTCTCCCTCTCTCACAGTCACAAATACAAAAACCCAACATCTCCAACACTAACTTGGCAGCACCGATGCTCCGACTCTCTCTCTCTCCCCCTTCTTTTCATCGCTTCAGATTTTTTTTCTTTTCGTTTTTTTATTATTTTTTTTATTGTTGTTATTAATTGTCTCTGCATGCAATTTTTTGTTAGTTCATATCATGGATTGTTGTTCTGCAGTGATGAAAGTTGAGTACAACTAGGTTTTGCAGTGAGAAGGATGAGGCATAACTAGTGGCGGATTCACAGTGGGGTCAATGGGGTCACACGATCCCTTGGAAGCCAAGGAAACAACTTTAGAGACCCCTTGGAGCTGCTGGTGCGACCCCTTGGAGCTGCTGGTGCGACCCCTTGGCTGCACACCAAGTGTTCAACGAAAGGTCCTCGGCTGGGCTGGTTGAAGAAGACGAAGGCGCTCGCGTGCCTGTTTTTTTTTTTTCAAAATAACCTGGGCAAAACGACGTCGTTTTGGCCCAGGAATTTTTTTTAAATGACCTGGCCAAAACAACGTCGTTTTGGGCCAGGTCTGAACAAAAAAAATACCCAGCGTGTCCTGGGAAGGTCTGAACAAAAAAAAAATACCAAGCGTGTCCTTTTCAGCCATATTTTGCACAGATCCGAAGCCATTCATTCCAAAACCCCCTAATTTCTTTTGTTTTCTCCTCCTCCAACCCTAAGTTCCAAACTCAATCTCCCCCAAACCCTCAACTCCATCTCCTCCCTTGCTGCAGCCATTAAGGTGCCTTTGTGCTGCCGTCGTCGTCACTGTGGTGGTGGTGCCACCAGCTTTGCTCTTTGTATTTGCTCATTGTTATTGTGAAATTTCACAATTCAAGTAAGTTCTAAACCCTATGTATGATATATTTAATTTCATTGAAACCTAATTCATATTTATTTTGATTATATTGGTGGTTTGTTTATATTGTGAGTATTTATTTTGAATATTTTGTATATGTAGAATATATTTAATTTAATTGAAATTCAATTCATATTTATTTTGATTATATTGATGGTTTGTTTATATTGTGAGTTTTTATTTTCATTATTTTGTATATGTAGAATGCAAGATGAGATATTTAATTTAATTGAAATCCAATTCATACTTATTTTGATTATGTTGATGATTTGTTTATATTGTGAGTATTTATTTTGAATATTTTGTATATGTAGAATATATTTAATTTAATTGAAATTCAATTCATATTTATTTTGATTATATTGATGGTTTGTTTATATTGTGAGTTTTTATTTTCATTATTTTGTATATGTAGAATGCAAGATGAGATATTTAATTTAATTGAAATCCAATTCATACTTATTTTGATTATGTTGATGATTTGTTTATATTGTGAGTATTTATTTTGAATATTTTGTATATGTAGAATATATTTAATTTAATTGAAATTCAATTCATATTTATTTTGATTATATTGATGGTTTGTTTATATTGTGAGTTTTTTATTTTCATTATTTTGTATATGTAGAATGCAAGATGAGATATTTAATTTAATTGAAATCCAATTCATATTTATTTTGATTATGTTGATGGTTTGTTTTTATTGTGAGTATTTATTTTGAATATTTTGTATATGTATAATTATTATGGAACGGTTTTTTAAGAGAAAGTCATCATCGGGTTCAGGTAGTTCGAATAATGTTGATAGTTCAAACACTGTTGGTAGTTCAAGAACTCCAAGTTCAAGACAAAGTCAGTTAGATGGTGTTTTGGGTAATCTTGAAGCGGATCCTGGATTGAGAACTCGAATAATAGATTATGATGCTAATATGAGAGATGAGGTCCGAAGATCATATCTACAAAAAGGACCTTGTCAACCTAGAGGTCATAATTTCCCAATAACTAATATGTCGGGAATTAATCGACTTCTTCATTCCCCAATGGTTTGATGAGTTTGATTGGTTGGAGTATAGTATATCTAAAGATGCGACATTTTGCCTCTATTGCTATCTCTTTAAAACCAATTTTGCACAAGTGGGTAGTGAAGCTTTCACTGGAGATGGATTTAAGACTTGGAAGAAAGAGAGAGAAAGATTTAAGATGCATGTTGGACCGGTTGGGAGTGTTCATAATAAGGCCAGAGAAGCTGCTACAAATTTGATGAATCAAGCTACACATACTGAAACGGCAGTGAGCAAACACTCCGACCAAGCTCGTAAGGCTTATCGCACATGCTTGAATGCATCAATCAAGTGCACTAAGTTTTTATTGCGACAAGGTCTTCCTTTTCGTGGCCATAATGAAAGTGTCACTTCAAGCAATATGGGAAATTACATGGAGCTATTGCAATTCCTTGCAGATAATAATGATAAAGTTAGAGAAGTTGTGATGGAAAATGCTCCGGGGAATCTCAGATTAGTAGCTCCTAGCATTCAAAAAGAAATTGTGAATTCATGTGCCCTTGAAACACTTGATGCTATCATGGATGGTCTAAAAGATAGATTCTTTTCAATATTTGTGGATGAAGCACGTGATGTGTCGGTGAAATAGCAAATGGCTATGGTGTTGCGTTATGTGGATGACAACGGGCATGTAATTGAAAGATTTGTGGGTATCCAACATGTTACCAACACTACTTCAAGTTCACTAAAGGATGCTATTGACACATTATTTTCTCGCAACGGTTTGAGCATTTCCAAGCTACGAGGACAAGGTTATGATGGTGCTAGCAATATGAAAAGTGAGTTGAATGGCCTTAAAACAAAGATATTGAGAGAACAACCTTGTGCATATTATGTTCATTGCTTTGCTCATCAACTTCAACTAGCTCTTGTTGCCGTAGCAAAGAAGAATATAGACATTGCCTCTTTTTTTGCAACGGCTAATAGTGTGGTTAATCATGTTGGAGCATCTTGTAAGCGGCGTGATTTATTTAGAGGGCAACCTCAAGAAGAGCTTGTGATAGCTTTTGAAAATGATTGTCTTATAACGGGGCGAGGCTTAAATCAAAAAATAAGTCTCAAACGTGCCGGTGACACACGATGGAACTCACACTATGGTACCTTGATTAGCATCATTTCCATGTTTTCATCCGTGGTTCATGTGCTTCAAATGGTTATTGATGATAATCTCAATGAAAGTGCGGGTGAAGCAAATAAGTTAATGAGAGATATACGTACTTTTGAGTTTGTGTTTCACCTTTTCTTGATGAAAGTCATATTGGGACTCACAAATGATTTGTCACAAGCATTGCAAAGGAAAGATCAAGAAATTGTGAATGCAATGGCTTTAGTGAAATCATGCAAGGAAAAGCTACATTGGATGAGGAATAATGGGTTCGATGCATTGGTTGATGAAGTATCTTCTTTTTGTGAAAAACATTATATTAATGTTCCTAACATGGAAGAGGCATTTATACTTCCAGGGAGGTCAAGGCGTAATGCTCCAATAAAGACAAATCGTCATCATTATCGTGTGAAGCTCTTTATTTATGTCATTGATGAGCAAATTACGGAGTTAGAGGATCGCTTTAATGAGGTAAATACCGAGTTGCTTATTTGTTTGGCATGTTTAAGTCCGAAAGATTCATTTGTAACTTTCGATAAACCAAAGTTACTTCATCTTGCTCAATTTTATCCTCAAGACTTTTCGGATGAGGATCGTTTGGCACTTGAAGATCAACTTGAGATTTATATTCATTATGTGCGTTCCAGTAGTGATTTCTCTCAATTGGAAGGGATTGGTGATCTTGCAAAAAAAAAATGGTGGAGACAATGATGCATCAAGTATTCAATTATGTATATTTGCTCATTACATTGTCTTTAGTTTTACCAGTTGCAACTGCTTCAGTAGAGAGAGCATTTTCTGTCATGAATATTGTTAAGGGTCCACTTAGGAACAAAATGGGAGATCAATGGTTGAGTGATAGCTTGCTTGTTTATATTGAGAGAGATATTTTTGCTTGTATTGAAAATGAAGCTATAATGCTTCGTTTTCAAAATATGAAACCTCGTCGTGGACAATTATAGCTTGTAATATTATTTCCGTTATGAATTATGAATGAAAGTACTATGATTTCATTTTCAACATGTTTTCCATCCTAAATTTTTTTTTTGGACTTGTACACTACGACCCCTTATGGTAAGATTCCTGGCGGGCATAACTATTCCCCTTTTCTCTATCTTCATTTTTATTTTTTATGCTAATTAAAACTTCATTTTCGTGCTCTTATTAGAAATTTATGATGTTTATTTGTGGTATTTATGCGTTGTTAACTTTGTATGGTGTAGAACGAAAGAAATGAAGAAGATGATTTAATAATCAATCTGGTCAGAGATAAAAGAAGAGCTTAACAATGTTTTTTTTTATTATTATTTCAACTTTGTATAATTAACATGTTATTATCTTTCAAGTGTTTCTTTTTAATTTATAACTTTGTATTGTACTCCAGTAGATTGTTGAAGAACACTACCAATGGAAGATGGAGTATGTTCAGGAATTGCAGATGAGTTTTTCGGAGGACTTGATTTCAAAGACAAAAGAGTAAATTTAATCCAAAACATGTGACATGACATTAACTATTGGGATTAGACAACTGAAAGGGCTCTCAGTGGACTCTTTTTTTTTTAACTTAAATTTGAAATTTGGACACCAATACAAAAATGATATTTTCTCTGACACAATATCTATTAATTCTAATAATAAATAAACAAAATACCTATTTTCTCTGCGGTGTTGGTGGCTTGAGACCTAGCTCCAACAATAGTTAAAGATGACCACTCGAGAGCAATGTAAGGAAAGCAATCAAGGAAAGGTCCCAGGTAGCTGGTTGCTGATTGGAAGTTTGATTTCAAGTTCCGACTGATTGCTTTCTTTATCCTTGTCATGTAGGCAAGAGCAAGGGCAAAGAAAAAGACACGAAAAAAGCATGATATGAGATACTCTTGCTCTCGACCCTGATGATATGAAATACTTTCGCTCTTGAAGGAAAACAGTAAAAGGATTTGATGCTGATGTAAAACTTCTCGAACAATTTTCTTGCTGAGGAAATGAGTTGAGCATTTTAAGTGACTTGTTTGAAGAGTTATTCTCGAAGAGAATGAAGACTGATTATGTTGAGAGGTTTGGTTGTAGGTGCACTCTCGGCAAGGAAGGAGAGTTAGACATTTTGGAGGTGTGCTTTGCCATGGAGGACGAAGGTCAACATATATAGGGATTTCCCAATAGCAGGTAGTGGTGTGGATGTGGCCTTATCACCTACGCTTGTCGACAATAGTGATGTAATTGGAACTGTAAAATTTATACGTTTGAACTTTGTCAGAGATTTTTGGACAAAGTTGCCTGTGGTATTTGAAAAGCTGAGATTGCGTTTGAAAAGAGCCAACAAACTTTATTTAGGCAAACCTGGCTTTTGAAATTCGAAGAGCGGTGCCTCTTTGATTTTTTTGAACAAGTGCCCTTGTTAAAGATGCATTCTCAGAAAGGAGGAAGAGTTAGGCATCCTCGCTGGTCTGCTTTGCCATGGAGGATGGAGGTTGACATATAATTCAATTTCGCAATAGTAAGTAGTTGTATTGTTCCTTTACTCTTGTCAGCAATAGTGGTGTAATTGGAACAGTAAAATTCACGTGTCTTAACTTTGTCGGAGATCTTTGACAAAGTTACCCGTGATATCCGAAAAGATGAGTTTGCAACTGAAAAATGCTGACAAACCTTATTTCAAAAAGTTTGGTTTTTTTTTTTTTTTTTTTTTTTTGAAATTCGGAGAGTGGTGCCTTTTCAATTTTTAAACAAGTGGCCTTGTTGAAGATGCATACTCGGAGAGAAGGAAGGGTTAGGCATCCTCGCAGGTCTACTTTGCCATGGAGGACGATGGTCGACATAAATAGGGATTTCCCAATAGCAAGTAATGGTACTGCTCCTTTACTCTTGTCAGCAATAGTGAAGTAATTGGAACAGTAAAATTCATGCATCTTAACTTTGTCGGAGATCTTTGACAAAGTTGCATGTGATATCTGAAAAGCTAAGATTGCGTCTGAAAAAAGCCAACAAACCTTATTAAAAAAAGTTTAGCTTTTTTTTTTTTTTGAAATTCAGAGAGTGGTGCCTTTTCGATTTTTGAACAAGTGGCCTTGTTGCCTCTCCTTTATAGATGTATCAATTGTGTTCAAAAGCATGGTCAAAAAGTTGTTGCCTGTAGGAATTTCCCTCTTTTTGCATTTCTGAGATTTCGATTTATCTGACCTCCTTTTTCTTCGTCATCTCTGAAAATGGCTTGCACATCTGACCGTCGTTTAGATTTGAATGTTATGGAAGATGTAGACATGTCTTCTCAAAACAATATGGCACTCATCCTTCTTATCCCATAATGGTCCTCTTACAGTTGGGGATTCTGTGATAAAGAATGACATAATCGCTACGGTGGTAGCTAGGAATCTTCTTACCCTTAAGGATAACAGGATGCTTTCCAAGCAGTTCGACAAGCTGGTTGTTCAAGACTCTTTGGCTTTCAGTGTTCAGTGTACGCGCTCTGTATCAAACATAGGCCAATGCCTACTTGCTCGAACACGTCAAATTGAGTCACTAATGGCTGAGGTGGCGAGTCTTAAGCAAGAGATTAGAGGGCTCAATCATGAAAATAGAGATTTGCACATGTTTGCCAATAATTACTCGACGAGCATGAAGAGAAAGCTTGACCAGCTGCAGGAATCCCAAAGTCAGATTCAAAGTGATCATCAAAGGTTTGTGGCTTTATTCCAAAGGCACATATTGCCTTCGCCATGTGGAGTTTTACCAAGTGTTGAGGCTACAAATAATCAACCGCTGGTGCCTTTTCTTCCTGAAGTTCCGCCAAGTACTGAGGCGTCATGAGCAACCTTTATGAAAGCTCCCTCCTGTTTTATTTATTTTTTTCATATGTATGCACATATCTGTAATTTTTCAGAGATATCAATAAATAAGTTTTATTTCATTCAATGTAATTTTTTTTTTTTGGAAAGTGGGATCCCAAAAGAATCGCCAACGAGGAACTTTTATTAAAACAAACACACACTTACAAACCAAACAAATGCCCAATGAACGGGTTGTATTCGATAAGGTTAGGGTATCATGTTGCGAGGGAAATGATGAAAAATGGTGAGTTTGGAAGGAAAGGAAGCGGGATGTCTAGTTCCTCGGGTGAATTGGGAGGGATGTCGAAGATGATATGGACTCTTGCAGTACTGAATAAACTCCGGTTCTTTCTTTGGAAGGCGTGTAGGAAGGCTTTGGCGGTTAGGCATAATTTGGAGATTTGACAAATCCGAGTAGTGAATAGATGTGAATTGTGTAGAACGGGTGATGAAACTGAGGCTCATCTTTTATTTGACTATGAGTTTAGTCGTGCATTTTGGTTTGGGACGTCGTTGCAAAGCAATATGGCGGCTAAGATGGTTAATGAGTTTTCAAAGGGATGGCAGCAGTTAGGAAAACGTCTTGAGAAGGAAGAGAATGCTGATTTAATATTGCAGCATGTGGTATTTAGGTTCTGGTGTATTTGGAAATGTAGGAAT